GAACTAAAAACGATAAAAGAGAGAAGGCGGCAGCGGGGGAAAGAATTCGAAATAGGCGACGGGGAATCGAGAGGAGGTGGCGAGAGGAAAGGGAGGCGACGGGAATCGAGAGGAGGAGGCGGTGGCAGGAGGAAAGGCAGGCAACGTGAATCGAGAGGAGGAGGCGGCAGGGGTTGCGAGGTCGGGCGACAGGGCAAAGGGAGGCGGCGGGGGAAAAGGGACGAAATTGGCGGCGAGGGGTAGATGGAGGATATCGTCGACTTGGGTCTCGAGAGGAGGAAGTTGAGAGAGGGAGGGAGCTGTGGGGCGGCGGGTTTGGGAGAAAATGAGGGTAGGGTTGTTCGACTAGGGTTTGGAGGTGGGTTTGGGAGTTAAAAAAAAAAAGAGAAATTTTTTACTTTAGGTGGGATTCGAATTGAGGGTTGTTTTAATGAAAACAAACGGGAATCCCATGTAAAACATGTACAAGAATCAAATCCAAAGCAATAAATTGTTGTTTCTCAAATTTGGGCCCTATTGTGCAAATCTGATTCACAACAAAAAACAGAAACCCAACTAAACATGTTTTTTTCTTGGTTTCTCCAATCTTGAAAAACACAATAAAAAAAAGGCAACAATACTAAACGGGGCCTTAGGGTTATCGAAAGTGGTGAGTGAGATCTTTTCTGTGGGTCTTCGTCGTTATCCACACGCCTCCGAGTATGCCTCCCCTAAACCCATGTTTCAGTCACCTCGATCTAGGCTATTGTATCTGGGGCTTTAAACTTATGGCTCATTTTAATGGACATTATCCACCGTCCACACCGAGTTTTCATCCCGGGTTCCATCTACGAAGGCTACCTATAGCAGGGGTTCGGTCGCCTGGACCACTATAGGCCCCTATTCACACATTTAACCTAAACTCGCCAGTTGGCACATATCCGTCTAACCCGATAACTCTTTACCCATCGCAGTAGCATAAAGTAGGCTAAGAGGGAAGATTATGGCGACTTATCAAAGCGTCATCATAAAGGAAAGAGTGATATTAAAATCAACTAGACAAACACATTCATTCATTCAAACCCTAAAATATCCATACATACATAATAAACCCTAAAACTAGGGTTTGGGGTTTAGAACCCCTAGTACCTTAGAGGACTACTCTATAAAGAAGGGAAGAAGATACATGGTAGAAATAGAAGAAGACTTGGGGTAGAAGATGTCTCATTGCTCCTAGCTCCTCATTCTTCTCCTTTTCTTCTTCTCCCTTCATCTTCTCTCTCTTTTCTCTCTCTAGAACCAGAAATTTCACCCAAAATCAACTCACTTGAAAACGGGGAAGGGGGTCTTTTATTTATAGGCAACTTGGATTTGGCAACTTCGCGGACTGAGGTAGGGAGATCGCGGTGGTGATCTTTGGTCATCGGGACGCAATAAAGCTATCTGAACCACAAACACATCCTCGACGGGCAATCCAAGCCAAGAGAATAATCCTTTGACGGTTGATCTCAATTCTTTGCCCGGTTGCCACTCACATGAGAACCTCTTTTCTATTTTTAAGCTTAAATTGAAAAAGTTCTTAGTTCACATAAAAGGATAGAATCCCACACACAATGCCTTCCTAAGATAGCAACACTATCGACTCACACTAGAGGAGGAAAGTAGTAAAATCCCACACGTACCGATGCCTAAACCATGCAACTATCACCTAAGATGCACAACACATTAATCAATCTAGTCAAATCAAAGCACATCGAGTAGATAATTGCAAGGACAAGGTGTTTTGGAACCCTCAAATTTGAAAAAATTTGGGTGTGCATTCAAGGTTTCAAAAACACTAATATTTCACCATTCATCACCACAACAAAGGCATGATCACTGGCATACACTCCCATAAGCATTCTTCAACGTCTTACATTCACAAACAAGGGAGGATACTAGCAATAAACGGTTGCACCAATCATGATAAACATTCAAACATGCACAAACATCCCCCCCCCCCCCCCAATTTGAGCAATACATTGTCCTCAATGCGAGAGTTCGCCAAGAAAAGATCGTGAATGTTACCATAGGTCGGGTTGTGGGTTGGTGAAGGTTCACAAGTGTAGTCTTTGTCTTCCTGGTGGTTTTCACAACGATAAAGCGCATAAGATATAGAGGTAGATGAATAGAAGTTATAGGTACGATATATATATATATATATATATATATATATATATATATATAATAAGTACTAATACTACTACTAGCGAGAGAATATATAATGTACGGAAGGTAAAATGAAAACAAAGCGATAATTAACATTGTTTTAATTTAAATAAAGAAAAGCAGAGAAAATGAAAAGATAGAACTTAGGATCTGGATGCCTAGAACTCATTCCTCCTCAGAGGGTCCTTCTTCTTCATCGTGGGAAAGTGCGAAAGGGGAGGAGCGATTGAAATGTTCATCTTCTCCATGATCGCGTGGATGCACACCATGATGTGAAGTTGTGCTTCCTTCTCCCTTCATTGGTTGTGAAGAATAGCCGCTATCATAGCTTTAATTCTATGATCTCTTGCATTATTGCTCAGTGGGTGAACCGGTTGAAAAGTGGGAATAGGCACCTCTCCTCCTTCATGCTCACTCTCCCCTTGGTCTTCCTTGGTTGTCAATCCTCTTTAGTCCCTTGCCCTCTTAGCTTTCTGAAGACGGAATACTGTTCCTTCCATGTCCAATATATTGGTGGTTGGAAATGGGAATCATCGCACACCCCAAATGCCATTATTTGCTCATGTGTAGCACCTTAAGTATTGACTTCAAGACATCATATGATATAGTAACGGTCTTGCGATCCAATCGAAATTGAACAGACCCAAAGTCGACTGGAAAATATTTGTCAAGTTGAGTGATGTACACTCCTCCATGGAGTGCGGCAAGTTGGCGATCCGTCTCGTAACTCTTGAAAATAGATAAGATTAATAGACCGAGATGGAGAGATTGTGGGAGGCGCATGCTATGAAATAGGGTGATGTCTCAGGCGGTGAGATTGCCCTTACTCGTGTTATTTCCTCCCACGGACCTAGCAATCACGTGGTGGATGAGCTACCACTCCGGTTGCACCGTACTGGCTTTTGATTGTCTCACGTCCCATTGTCGGCTCTCGGGTTTCTTAATTTCGGATTCATAGAAGGGTTTGAAACAAGGGAAGTTGGATTCCCTTGTCAAGGTGGTGAAATCATTAGGTGAATCAATGGAGCTCGCTGGGTAGATGTCCATTGCTCTAGTGAACTCTCGGATTGACATGCGACGGTACTCCCCTCCGAGTTCAAACTAAATGTTTTCCTCAAGGTTGGCGGCACCCCTCATGTCTCGAATAGTGAGTGTACTAATAAAATCAAGAACAAGCACCCAATATATGTGTTCTTGAATAGAGAGTAACTTGAGCCATTCCAATTTCTGTACTTCAGAGTGGATTGCATCTTCAATTCCAAGTTGGGCGAAAAGAATCCAATCGAGACAAGTACTTTAGCTTAAGGGTAGCCTTGATTGATGTTCAAGTTGTGATGGTGGATGAGTATCTTCTACAACCACTTCCTTTGACTTGGACTTCCTTGTTTTCTTCTTTTGACCTTGGTGAGGACAATATGTTCGAGAGTATGAGCTCTCACCATGAGTCAGGCCTTTAGTATTGTATATTATCTTTCAAGACAAGTGGTACACATATGCATAAATCATCAACCCAAACATCAAGCATTAATCTCCAAACACTTGAATGTGACTAAGAACTTATTGTAGAATACAATAAGGTATCATGGAATTTCTAAATTTCCCCCACACTTGAATGTGACTAAGAACTTGGAAAAAGAGAGAAATTGGATAGAGAAATATCTCCAAATAGTAAGAAGAATATCCCCAAATTAATGTAGGAACAATCAATGACCAACACCCCATGTAATGAAATTGATGCTTAATCCAAAGTAATGCAAATAATGAATTCTATGTGGTTGGGGACTTTTCACAAACACTTGATGGGTGGTAGTTGAAGATGACATAAATGCATAGGCACAACCCACCAAGGCATCAAAAGTGACATAGAGGGTTCATTAAATAAAGGAAGAGCAATCGCATGCCATCAAGAGAGAAAAACTTGGCTGGGATGAGTGTACCAGCATGGATTGCTAATGTGGTGCACCCATCCAATTGCATTATGCCATGTGTCCTTTTAAGTCAAGTATTTATCTCTAATAAAATTAAAATTAAAATTCTTAGTTTTCTGCGTTCAAGGAAACTTCCCTTTTATTGTTTTTTTTTTCCTTTTATGGATGTTCCCCCTTTCCGTCAAGAAAAGGAACAGAGTAGATGGAGATTAAGATGCTGCTCGATGTCCGCTTCTTTCCCAGATACAAAACCTATCTGGATTCAAGAAGTTGATTCCGTCTCTCAACATCGATGACTCATTTCGTCCACTTCTTCTTTCTCGCGCGGGTGCGATTCAAACATCAGAGTCGATCGTCACCGGTAAAGGAATTTTCCTCGCCGCCGGAGCAAAACCGATCTGGATTCGAGAATTCGATTTCTTCTCTCAACGTCGATGCGCCATTTCGTCCAATTTTTCTTTCGCAAGTGCCCCAACCAGTTTCGGCTTCTCCATCCACATAGTCGAACTCATCGGAGGCGACAGTAGCTCAGGTAATGAGTGATTGGTTGGTTATAAATTGGGGCAAAATTCAAATTTGGGTAAAGAATTAGTCGCATGAATAATTAGGAGTTTGGTGTGTTTGGAGAATTTAGGAGTTCTACTTTTTATTTTGTTGAAGATAGATGTCTGAGGGATTTCACTTAATTCAATTACAAGTTTACAACTAATACTCAAGTCTGGGGGATTTAACTAGGTATGCAGGATGTTGTTCTACGTGGCATATGTTCTGCATAGTATTTTTGTATGCTTCAGGCGGCAAGCTGCGGCTAAGTGTTAAGGGAGGACAGATGAATGGTTCTGCTTATGCTCTTAGTTGTTGTTGTTACAGGACATGTAAATAAAGATGATAATGTTGCTTTTGTTCTCAACAGATGTTGTTTCAGGCGGCAAGCATACTAGAGATGGCTCTCAATGCTACTGTCGTTGTTGTTGTTATAGGGCATGTACATAGAAGAGATACAGTGTGCTATGTAGCTCATTTTTCACGTGTTGAACGATGATGTAAGTAATAGAAGGATTTGATTTTGGAATCCAACTGGTGGGGCTTTGGCACGTGGAGTATTGACTATTGACATGATAATGTAACAGTCTCATTTTACAACATGTCTTAGCTCCTGTATGATCAATAAATCATAGAAACTGAACATAAAAGGTCCATTAAAGTTGTCGACCCACAAACAATTAAGTCTTTGCTTGTAAAAGCCAAACACAAAGAAAGTATCCAGTATCCAAAGTGTGTCCATGAAAATGAAAGAGTCAAAAGTGTGTTCATGAAAAATAAAACTCCACAAGGATGTCGAAATTCCTATTGTCAGTTGACTGATTTTGAGGTCTGCAAAATTCAAAATATCATTGGTCAGAGTATACACCAAAATAGTGCATATTTCTTCTTATTGAAAAAAAACAAAGAGGAATACCGTATTGTCTTCTCTTAATTGCCATATGGGAATGTCTGAGTATACTTGAGGGAGCGAACCCTATAAAAAAAACAAATAAATAAATAAGTCGATATGATTAAACAAACTCAAGTTGTCTATGAGATTACCAACCTGGTTTAAGTGAACCATTGGAACAATATTTGGCAAGACATTCATAAAAGAAGTATCTGGAATAGCCATACCCTGTAAGAACATTTCGATTTAACTAGAAGTAAATATTGAGTATAAAGAACCAATTACTACTCAATTGAAGTATTCAAATTATTACCAAAGGATTTGAAGTTGCAAAATGTCCAACTCCACTAAATTGAGGCGCAAGAGATGGCAATGCTGGATACTGTGCATTCCTTACATACTTGAGAGTTGAGATAAAACTAAATTAGATAATCCATAACAAATAAAATAGTAGAAATTAACTAGTCATCTTTACATACTTGTTGCAATGTTGGATACTGTGGATTCCTTTCGAGAGTCATTTGTTCATGCATGGAATTTGATTGGGACTTTTTTCCTGCAAGACAAATAATTCAAGGATTTATATCACATAATGATTTTAATAAAGGAGTAATGACGAATAAACTCTTACGCGATGACACTTTTGTTGATTTTGCTTTGCGCTTTTCAAAGTGACCTTTTTCTCTTGTGTAGTTTAGTCCTTTCGACTTCGCACATGGTGGATTCAATATCGGTTCCACATTTATGTCAGTTTCAGTAGCCTCTTTGCCAATATGACCATCCAAGTCTATGTTTTCCAACTCTTGCTCTAGCTTCATTTCAAGACTCAACAAACTTTCTTGAAATGTTTTTCTGATGCTTTCAGTGTGTTGGCTTTTGTATATAAGATTGCTAGCTATGCGCATCATGGAGTTCCGCCATACAATCTTTGCCTCTTCATTGGTCTTCCTTGAAGCATATCCTTTCTCATATCCCATCATCCCTTTTTTTGCTTCTTTCGTCCAACGTTGCAAAATATAATCATTAGGCAGTTTTGTGATGTTCTTGACACTAAGGATCCGTAGAGCATGACAACAAAGAATCCCTTTGGCCTCAAACTTCTTGCATGAGCAAAGAACTTCATTCTTCTCTTCATGAAAACGAACCGTGCGAACTCGACTGTGCCCCTCTTCTTGCACCTCGTAGGTAGACACTGATTCATTTGTATTGACTTCTCTCCATATTGTTGCAAGACTCGAGATAAATTCTTTTTGGAATACCATATACATAGTTCTGGTATAGACTATTGCAGCATGCTCTAAGATACCACACCTAACCAATGGCTTTGGAGTACCTTGTTTGCATCGAAAGTCCTCTTGAAGCTCCCTCGATCTCATACCTGTAACTAATTTGTCAAACTGAATAGTGAACTCAGTAAGATATGTGGTCTTCCCTGAAATGCTATTCAATACATTATTTGTGCTTTCACTTCTTTGAGATGATTTGATACCGGCAGAGAAAAAGTCATGACCAAAGACAGTACTCCACTTCGAACGAATCTGATACATGCCATTGAGCCAACTATGACCAGAAAGATCATATATCTCATTCATCTTGTCCCACGTTTCTTGAAATTCCATCTCTGTCTCACAGCCTGTACAACACTTATTCCACAATGCTTGAAACTCCTTATCCCCACTCAGATGACCCAAATGTGACGGTGCATTTTTGCTGATGTGCCATAAGCATAGGCGATGCTTTGTGGTTTTAAACACTTCTCTAATTGCCTTTGCCATAGCAGCGTCTTGGTCTGTGAAGATAGTCGCAGGTTCTCTATTGCCCATTGCCTCTAAAAAGGACTGAAATAACCACTTAAATGAAGCCGCAGTCTCGTCCAATAAGAATGCACAACCAAACATAACATTGTTCCAATGATGGTTCACACCGACAAATGGAGCACAAATGAGATTATACTTGTTGGTACGAAAGGTAGTGTCAAATATCATCACATCTCCAAAAGAATCATAGTCAATCTTTGATCTTCCATCTCTCCAGAAAAAGTTAGTTAACCGATTCTTTTGATCAACTTGCACTGCATAAAAGAACATTGGGTCTTCTGCTTTTTTCTTTTTCAAATAATTCATCAGACTTTGAGCATCCCCTGCTTCAACTTTCACCATCTTTTGTCTATGCACATGATTAGAACAATCTTTCTGTAAAAACCCAACATTTTCATCTCCTCCGTGTTCTGTGGAAATATATGCATAAACATCTTTTGTGCTGAGTCCTGCATCCTTCATCGTATCAATTACACCTGCCTTTTCCTTTGAAATCTTTCGACCAGATTTCAGCAAATGCCTCTCTGATGGTGAAGCAAGATCATGATTATGTGTGGGCTGGAAGTCAATCACCTTCCACACACCATTCTCAATGCTGAAACGGATGAAAGCTTTGCACCCTGTTCGTGTTTCCAACCTATTGACCTTTTTCACTTCAAGTGGATTATCATCATCCGTGATGCCTTCCTTGGAACATAGAAACTCACGTTGGCTAATTTTTCCTGTTTTACTTGAATACCGGTATCTACTTCGGCGCACACTGAAACCAAGTCGTAAAGCATAGTTATTGTAGAGAGTATAAGCTTCATCTTCATTAGACACTGTTTTCCCATATAGATTATCATCATCACTATCCGCCACCCGATTAGGAAATAGTGGAATCTCATTCTCTTTAGCCGTCATGAAAAATCTGTAAAAAAAAAAAGGAACAAAAGGCATATATACAGCGCCAACAATTGAGGGGAAAGAGATGCAAACAAAAGCGAACCAGAAATTCCAAAAGGATATCCAATTCCAAGTCAAATCATGCATCCATATTATGATATACTAGAGTTATCGTTAAGCTAAGGACACCCAATTCCATATCAAATTATGCCTCCATACTACAGTACCATGCAGTAAGGAATAAAATCAACAACAACAAAAATAAAAAAAGCCAAGCACATGAACCAACTAAGAGGATAACGAACCCAATGGTAATAGCTGTGTACCTGGTACTGGAATTGGGATCGCGATGGGAGAATGATGGATTTATCGGCTTGTAGGCTGGGAACTCCACGAGCATCAATGATACGGATGAGAACTCACTTTTTCTTTCTAGGCGATTTTTTTTTCTTTCCTAGGGTTGTGATTCCACTCTTTAGTTTTACCCGGGTGTGTTTACTTAATAAATTATTAATTAACTAAAAGGGAAAAGTACAATAAAAAAACATTAAAAAAGGAAAGAGAAAGTGAAGTCGTTTGTACGCATTAAAGTTCTACAAGAATTTTTTACATTTAAAGTTTAATTCTAAATTCATATACTTAAAGGACACATGGCATAATGCAATTGGATGGGTGCACCACATTAGCAATCCATGCTGGTACACCCGTCCCAGCCAAGTTTTTCTCGGTAACTAGAACAAAAGCATTGAATACTGAAGAAGCATAGAGCATGAACATAATCAATGACAACAGAGAAGTATGAACATAATCATGAATATAAAATCAACACACGAAGATTTTACTTAAAATTAATAACGTACAAAAAATATTCATCCATAGCAAACCAAGTCGCAACCTCTAAATGAGATGCATCAAGATTTAGGGTTAATCTAGTATTTTGATGATTCATGGTTTATGGTGTTACTTTTTAGGAAGTTTAGGGGTCAAGATTTAGGGTTTCCCATTTAGGATTTGATGGATTTTACTTCTTAGGTTTGTCAAAAGGTTAAGAGTTTTTGGTATTAAGTTTCATGGTTTAGGATTTTGGTGTTTAGGGTATCATTTTTAAGGTTTTAGTGCTCTATAAGGGGTCGGTTAGCATGCTAACCCCCTTAGGGGTTGGAAAAATGACACCTCCAGTATATTAAATACAACTATAGAATTTAATACACACATTAAATACATATTAGGAATTAAATGTACCATATTAATTAGGAATTCTCTCACTATTAAATACACATTAGGAATTAAATACACACATTAAATACACATTAGGAATTCTCTCACTATATTTGATTTTTCCTTTTTCAGCAGTCTCCGACCACCAGACTTCCTCCGACCGCCACACTTCTCCTGTGAAAATCCCATCGGCAGACTCCCTCCGACCACCTCCAAAAAATATACTACTGCACTGATACGGTGTACCACTGTACTGGTAGATATACCACTGCACTGATACGTTGTACCACTGTATTGGTAGATATACCACTGCACTGGTAGCGATATCAGTGCACTGGTAGCAATGTCATATCTGAGTATCAATGCAGTGGTACAAATACCAGTAAAGTGGTAATTAATGTGGTGTATTTAATGCTTACTTTGTATTTAATAAGAGAACATTTATTATGTTTACTTTCATTAATACTTGTCAATAATTAATGAAAAATTGACCAATTAAAAGGGGGTGTCAAAAAACCAACCCCTTAAGAATGTAATGTTACACTTTGATAGCTCTTTGATGTAAGCTATGAATGAGTAACGTTTTTGTACCTTCTTAGATATTAATAACTCAAATTTCAAATCATACGTTTATATTGATGCTCATTCCATGTCATCATTTTTATGTCCATCCTTTGGCATTTGGACTTGTACGTTTTCATCCAAATTAACTACCAAGAGATTTGGCAAACCTCCAGAGAACTAATCATCCATATTTTAACAGTAGCAAAAATGGTCTATTTAGTCAAAATCCTATAGTCGACCTGAGCAACTTTATGGTCTATCTAATTGACTATTGTGGTCAACCTGATTAACAAACGTGATCGATCACCTAACCAAAATGTTAAGAGAAAATAAATTTTAATTGATATTTTCGGCAAGGAGTGTCGACATTTTTCCCACAAGCACCCAAAGTTTGGGCGTAGGGATAATCCAGAAGTTGGTGAGCTCATCATGTGCACATATAGGTTCCAATCTGCCAATTCCATTGCTCAACAACCAATCAAGCATTTTAATGTAGTGGAATTACGGATCTATCCAAGACCTCAACATTAGTACAAACCACGTTGTCTATCCGCAACGTGCTGATCATTCATTTCTGTTGTTCTGGTTTTCCTTGAAACAAAAAAATGTAGCATCTATGCATCCTTTCGTATTTGACCGATGCTTCCCCACGACCAAGATCAACTAGCCATGTTGTCCACTCTGTCAGATTAGAGCCTTTTTAGTTTCTAGCTGAATGAAATTCCGATAAAACCAGCTTCTTCTCTTTATAATTCCATGCGAAGCTGTGCTTCTTACTTGTAAAGTTGTAATAATCCAAAGGAACGGATCCTAGACAGCTCACGAGCATGTGGAAAAAGATCCGAGGGGTAGTAAAGTAAACTCAGTTTCAGCCATTGAATTATTGATGCTTGGTTAGTTCATTGTTGATCTAATCTAATTAGCGGGTTAGCAATTACGACATATATACTCGAACAATACTCGAATAAGGGAAGGAAAAACGAGTAAAGCCAGTTTGGTTCTTTGAGAAAGCAGCAGCAGAACGAGAAGGTACGAAAATGGCTGCACTGGAGGACGTAGCCGCCGTTATGTTGAGAGTTATGCTGAGGAAAAGCATGTGCATGTTTGAAGGTATAGTATACACGTTAATGCAGGTCGCCTCATTGTTGGTCTCTACAATGAGATACTCAACCTCGCGAATTGCTCATCCTGCTGCTGCTGCTGCTGGTCCTGTCTTGGCCAGCTACTCTCCCATTTCGGCCGCGGTGGCACCTGTTCGACATTGATTGCTAGCCATGTAAGTCTCTCTCCGGCCCGTCTCATCTCTATTTTGCGCATCATGAATTAAAGAATGAATGTTTGATTTAGTTTTGAAGCATGGAGAGAAGTGGAATCAAAGAGAATTGAAGATAAATATGCGGGAAAGCACTGCAGTCTCTGTTCACCACCTGCAGTTGCAAATGTTAACAAAGTTGTTTTGCTGGGCTCACCATATCATACTGTCTTGCCTGCATTTCAGTATACTTCATTTTGTGATGGTATTAGCTATATAAGGATTCTGTCCTCTTCAAGGACGATTCGATAGAATTTTGGATGTCCGGTTTCGTCAAATTTGAATCAAAAGTACCAAAATCTTTTCAGTACGTACATTCTGTCAATTGAGAAAATGTATCTGCTGCCAGATTGGGTTTGGATCTTCACAAGTTGTGCAGATTAGCTTTCTTCTTCGCTATTCTGATCATCTCTATCCTGGAGGGACAGCAAAACGTGAATCAACCCAATAAGCAAACTACTTACAGTGCCAGAGTGCCTACAAATGGGATGCCGATAGGGAGCAGCGCAAAATGAAGCAAAAACTGCTGGTCAAAAAGCCTTTGAGCCTGATGCTACAGAGAGTGTCATACCCCAGATAAGACCATTTGAGCAGTTCCCTGCAGCCAAATAGACTGAGAAAAGAAAAGCAATGGCTAGCTCTCTAGCAAGGATTCATTCTTAAGTTCGAGGCATATTCTAATCATCGGTTAAGCATCTTTCGAACTTTCTGTCGACCAGCCACAATACCTGTCAGGACGAGCATCTACTACATCATGTCAAAAGTAAATAATATCCCCTGTTGTCATCCTTTTTTCTTGACAAAAGGAACTAATAGAAGCGGTCTGAAAGCAAGGCATACAGGAATTCAAGCACATTTAGCAATCAACCACTAGAAGCAACAATCATTTGGTCGCCATAGAGAAGATCTATGTCAAGGTAGGATTTCTGGCACAGCATACCAAGAGACAAGCAGAGATTTAAACGAAAGAGACAACGAAGTGTTGACTCATCCGGCAGAAAAAATATACCAACAGACCATAAACGAAGGGCCAACGAGGTGTTGACTCTTCCGTTATATTTTGAGCATAACACAACCTTAGTCTAGCAGAAGCTTATGTGCATTATAATATTTTAAAACACCATGGGATACTACAGTGCGGGAACACAGGATTATGACTTCACATCAGTGAATGTGACTCACTGTCCATCTTGTAAACCATCTTGATCCATCGGCCGAGTTTCCATTTTCCAGTCTTGCTCACAGCTTGGACATGTTGTAATCCATAACATCAACCAGGAAATCTGCATCCAATATAACAAGGTTGATAGTTAGGTCCTATGAGTTATGGGGTGTAGACGTCGTGGCTAACATATGCAACCAGTAATGTTCTTTTTAGCAGAAGGAAAAAAGATGCAGTATAAAGATGTACCTGCATCTTCTTTGGTGAAGCAGAGGGGTGGAGTGATTCTGAAGACATTTCCATAGAAACCACCTTTCCCGATCAAGACTCCCATTTCTGACGTAGCACAAACCCAACAAAGAGAAGCAAATCAGTAACTTAAAATGTTAAAGCTCGTCCTATAAGTAGAGATTACAGCGAGATTTGTATTACCGACCTTTCATCTGGTCCAATACGTGCAGGGTTTCAGCATTTGCAGGAGTTTTCTTTTGGCGATCACTGACCAGTTCTACTCCGATCATCAGGCCTCTTCCCCTCACATCACCAATAACTACAAGACACAGGAAAAAAAGTAAACTCAGCAATTCAATTCAACACAAATAAGATAGTTATTTTGAAACTGTAGAGTTATTGAACATGAATAAATAGTTTTATTACTTTCATATTTTTCCTTGAGTGCAGTCAGTCTATCTTTCATGTATGCTCCAACTGTAGAAGCATTTTCCCTGAGGTTATCTTTGTCAATCACTTTCAAAACGGCCAACCCTGCAGCGGTGCTAACTGGGTTCCCACCAAACGTATTGAAGTAACTGCGGCGAGTCAGCACTTCTGCAATCTCGGGTGTGGTCACCACAGCACCGAGGGGCATGCCATTTCCGATGCCCTGAACGCAAAACAGATTTGAAAGACTTACATCAAAGTCTAAACTAACATGAATGAAACAATCCCTAATGGATACAGAGAGGAGAGCCACAAAACCTTTGCCATTGTGACAATGTCAGGAACAACACCATGGGCCTCAAATCCCCACATGTTCCCAGTGCGTGCAAAACCAGACTGAACTTCATCAGCAATGCAAAGCCCTCCAGCTTTCCTAACGTTTTTGTAAACAGCAGGCAAGTAGCCAGGTGCTGCTTCAACGATTCCACCCACTCCCTATGATAACCATGCAAATAAAAAAGTTATGGAACCATGTCGCAAACAAGGATAAAAGGGGCGTAAAGAGTAAATTAATGGTTAGTTTTAACCTGTATAGCTTCAGAAATGAATCCAGCAACGTGACCAGTGGTTGCAAAATCAACGATATCCTGAACATCTTTTGCATACTTCTCTCCATCAGACCCAAATGGACCTCTGTATGGATCTGGGTTCAGCACATGGTGAATTCCACTCTGTTGTCCATCCAAGAACATGTCAGGAGCATAACTAGTAACTCATTTTATTTTAACCACATCTACCTGTAGGGTTAAACTTCAATTCAAGATTGACGTGCAATCTAACCTTATCAAAGGTTAACAAGCAAACTAATTTATCAGTAGAAAACCCGGCGAGAAATTGGTTAAAAAGGAAAGAACGATGCTTTTAAGATTCGAAGAATTCCAAAGCAGTAGGCCCCATTTGCTTGCAAGAAGGAAGGCCAAAAGGAGTAGAACTATTCCTCTTATTAAACAAATAATTCTTCCCTTTGGCCTAAAAGATGCATTTCAAGAACCCTTTTAAAAATTATTCTGGCTAGGATGCATTCAAGTACTTCGGTTGCCAAAGGGAGATGTTCCACTAATCTACCAGCCCTTCAGTGTTATCCCTATCCAGATACACACCACGTCACCTGATTCCAGTGTACAGTACAACACGTTTCAGTTCCCCTAGGCTTAAACTTGATCAAATCAACAGTTTTATGCTCATTCCCTTGTGAGTATTAATTAATAAATATAAATTATACAATTTAATTGGAGTTTGGGTTCCCTGTACCATTTTCAACGCGAAGAAGAATTTTTCCTATTTGATTTAGGAGTATTTTAAAGTCTAACTGAATGATGCTGGACTCACTCCGCTTGAACTTCATCAAGCATTCGTAAACATAGATTAAATCATATTGCATGTAATGATTATTTAATTAGAGTTAGGATTCTTTAATCTAATACGATTCATCAATCCCAGCAAACCCAGCAGAACAGAGTATTTGCAGGGGTACCTGAACGACACTGAACTTCCAGCTGCGCTGGCCGGTGGCGCCCATCGTTCCAGCAGCATTACCATGGTACGAGTTCCTCACAGAGATCATATCTTGACATCCGGTGTACAGCCTCGCCATCATCATTGCCAGCTCGTTCGCTTCCGTTCCGGAGTTGGTGAAGAACGCCACCTGAAAATGGTCATTGGAACATCGATTAAAAAACTGCAAAACGGCAAAAAGGGAAAACAAGAAAGGATGTTCGTGATGTGTGTACCTTAAGATTGCCAGGCATCTTGGAGGCCAAAGCCTCTGCAAAATCAGCGACGGCATGATTAAGATACAGGATCGTTGGATGCTGGATGCGCTTCACTTGGCTAACGATCGCATCCACCACATCAGGATGACAGTGGCCGCAGTTCACCGTCGCGATCCCTCCGAATCCGTCCAAATACCGGCGGCCTCCTTCGTCGAACAAATACTGCATCCTCCCTTCGACGATGTTCACCTGCGGACATTCCAGAATATTCCCCCGCACAGGTCAAGTCAAAATCTAACGAAGACGCTCTGACGCACTCCGATTAATAATTATTATTATTGTTGTTTAATTTAATTACGAAATCAGTCAAAACAGCGTTCGTCGCTTTCTAACCCAATTATCAGCAAAAAAACACAAACAAACAGAAATCCAGAGAGAGAGAGATTGGACTCACTGGCTTCTTGTACAGATAGAACATGGAAGGGCTGAGAAACTGCCTGCGTTTGGCCAAGATCTCGTCGACGGAAGGACCGGTGTACGGCGCCGGCGTGTAATTGAACGGCGGCATCTTCGGGAGGACGTCATTTGCAATTTCTTTCTCACGAGCAGCCTGAGCGAAATAGCGGGTCTGTTTTTGTTGTTGTTGCGACCGGAGAAGAGATTGGGCTCTTCTTCTTCCTCCTTCCAGTAATCCACTCCTCGCGACAAATCTCTGCATCTCGCCGCCGTGCGATTGTGTTCAGGTAACGCACGACGTTTCCGCAAATTGTTTTGGGGAGGGGAATTAGAGAAAGGAAGAGGAGAAGGCGGAGCGAAATGGGGAGAGACTAGAGGGGAGGAAGCGGAGGGAGAGTGATGGGCCGATTAGGAATTGCCCTGGATCCATAGGCATTATATAGGGGACGAACGAGTCGACACCAGTACGTATTGTGTGTTAAAACTTAAACCGTAAATTAGCCGAATTTTCTCAATAATGGAATGATATGATTGTCATTAGAAAATGATAATGGACTTCAGCTTTCAACGAATTTCCATTGTTTTCTTCTACAGCAAAATTAACGTTACGTACCTAACAGAGATAATTCCTTTTTTCCAAAAGAAAGGGTTCAGATTATTACTTTTGTAAAAAAAAAAATAAAAGGTTCAGATTATTACTGATATTGTTAGAAAGCTGAAGTGCTGAACACTTAGATTATCATTTTCATAAATAATAGCTCAGATAGTCATAATGAATATAATTATATATATAATATTAGGATCTAGATTCTACTCATTAAGATTTATGATATAGTATTGTTTCTCAAAAAAAAAATTAGTTCAATATTTTGATAATGTTTTTTTAGTAAATATATATGATACTCCATATTTATTTAGGATATCATAAAATTCTATATACGCCTATTTTTTGTCCGGCTTATTTTCATGCTTTAAACGGTAATATTATTTAATGTAAAAACCTAACCATATTCATTTTGATTTTGCTACTTTTAAATTTGTATTTGTACTTTATATTAGAAATTATTTTTAGTCCTTTAACATAACTGATAATATTAAAAAGTATTTTTATAGTTATTCAATCGGGGTTTTTTAGTACTTTATAAACTCAAAACTTTTCTTCTTTTTTTTTTTTTGTGCGATCAAAACTTTTTTTTGAAAGTACTTCTTTAAAAAATTTAGCCAAAAATTGCTTTTTGCAGAATTAGCCGAGTTAGCCTATAGACTGCGAGATAACTAAAAAGATTACAAGATCCGGGAGGTGTATTTTGTAGGGGTGTAAGTTTGGCCCTTAAAACCCACTGGCCCGCCCCGACCCGCCCCGACCCTCAGGGTCGGGCTGGGTCAGTTTGTCTATAGGGTCAATTTAGGGTCGGGTCAGGGTCAGATAGGGTCGGGTCAATTTAGGGTCGGGTCAATTTTTGACCCTATGACCCTTAGCATCATAGAAACATGTTGGACCTATTTGTAAAATTTTAAAAATTTAGGTACTAAATTGTAAAAATTAAAAAATTTGGGTACCAAAACGTAATTTTACCATCAAATTTTAGGGACTTATTTGTAAAAAAAATTAAATTTAGGTACTAAAATGTAAGAAAAAATAAATTCGGGTACCAAATTGTAATTTTTAGAAAAGTAGTCTATTTATTAGGGTCGACCCACTGACCCGACCCTTCCTGACCCGCCCCGACCCTAAAGGGTCAGACAGTGTCATGAAAGAAACAGGGTCGGGGCGGGTCAGTTATACATCTTGACCCTTCAAGGGCGGGTCAGACAGGGTCAGGACAGGGTCAGGGGCGGGTCGGGCCAATTTTCAGCCCTAGTATTTTGTATCTGGTGCTTTGGTCATGTTTTAGAAGGAGATTGCTAAATGTGGCTCCACTAGTGCCGGAATGCGGCTAAGTCATTGATTCTGGACAGAATCTAATCAATGGTTTTCCTTCTTCTAACCTGAATTCAATGGTAACTTTCCTTGAATCCGGCTTCCACTCCGTAAATGGAAAGAGTGGTTTTGGAGCTCTATTTAAAGTTTAGTTATATATTTATATTTATATTACAAAAGAAAATAATTATATTTTAGGAAATGGAATCGGCAGGGTGTTTTGACGGAAGCAGTATATCTCCTCCAACAAGCAGGTGTAAGTTGGAGGTAAGTATGTCACAGGGCGACTCATTGTCAGAACTTCTGGTGTTCAAACTGTGTGGTTATCGTAATAACCGTTTTAACCGGTAGTATTTGAATAATTTGGTTTGGTTTGGTCAAAAAATTTAGCTTGTTTGGTTTAAGTGGTTTGGTTTCAGATACTCGTAACCAATCAAACCAAATTAACCAGTTAAGTAATTAGCTATATATCAAATATTATATATACATACTTAATACTTTGTACAACCACTCAAGAGCAAAAACGTAAGATAATTGTATTAGTTACATGTATTTATGTTAAGGGTTAACTATATTTTTGTGTTGATTGTTATGTGTTATTCATTATATAAATTATAAATTGTTGCACTAATCAGAAATTTTTCTCACTTAATGATAATGAGATGGTATATTGGTTATTTTGGTTAACCAATTAACCAAACTGATTCGGTTTGGTTAATTTGGTTGTTGTTTTTGTTTGGACGGTTTTGTTATGATATTGTATTCCATGGTTAATAGAATTTAAGCTTATTTAGTTTGGTAATTACCATAGTAACAATTTGAACACCTCTAGCCAGAAGCGGTAGACCCATTGCCTCAAGTGGTAGACCGCTTGGTGAAAGTGGTAAACAATTTTCTTGAAAAGTGGCCGACCACTTGGTGGAAGATATCGACTACTTAAAGGTAATTGTATTATCAGGTCAACCCATTTTTCGGAAGTGGTAGACCGGTTGGCTCAAGTGGTAGACCACTTGGTGGGAGAGGTCGATCACTTGGTGTCATCAGGTCTACCCATTTATGAAAGTGATAGACCGATTGACTCCATTTAGGGGAAAAGATCGATCATTTTCTTGGAAACTGGAAAGTGATCAACCACTTAATAGAATAAGCCGATAATTTTTCCAAGTTACATTGCAAGTCACCTGGCATACCCTAACCCATTAGTGCTAGGATGTAAGACTTTCAAAATTGGGTACATGGGGCGTAATTGATTGTTCATAGAGTTCATGGTTCAGTTTTACATGAACAAAAAAGCAAAGGGATGATCCGTTATGCATCAGTCGGAACATGGGATCATTGGGATACAACATGTAGATTTCTCTAATTTCGATGTAATTTTGTTGCTAAGAAGAACTTTAAAATTGATTGAAGAAACTTCAAATTCAACATTAAATTGCAATAGAATTTTATCCAGTTACATTCAATTTCGCACAAATAAATTTGTAACTAATATATTTTTACATCTAAATGATTGATATTGTGACAACTTACTGCATTCCGTTTTCTTATTTTTGAAACCGATGATCAGGATTCAAAAATGGTAGTTTTGGAAGAAAAAAGAAAAAAAAAAGAAATTCGCATGCAATTACTACCCTTAAAACATAAGATATCCCTCTCTATGGGTGGGCAATGGCCTGATTCGGATCATATCAAACTCAGAAGGATCGCGGTCCAATAGTGAAAGATATTTTAGGACTAAGGATTGGACCAGTAGTGCATTCGGTCCGCTTTGATCCGATACAAATGTCAATTCGGTCCATTTTTCTTCAATGCTTATTAAATTCACGAGATAAGATATCAGATCATATTATATTCTATTCGGTGTGGTCTAATCCGGTCCGATCCAAACATCGATTTGGTCAAATGAGGTCCGATACGGACCAACCCATTGCCACCCCTATCCCTCTCTCCTCAAACCCTATAGCATATTCTTCATCTTTCTCTCTTCATCTTCCTCCAAGGTGAGTCCGAGAGATCGCTACTCTCTCCCTCTTGTTAGCGCTGCACTGCTCGCTTGCAGACCTGCCTCCACCGACCCTCCCTCCCTCCAACACGACGTTGGCCTCACCTCCTCAACGTCAGATATCTCTATGTCTCTCTCTCCCAAGGTCTCTCTCTTCCAAACTGGATACAATATTTGTTCTGGTATTGGTATTTGTGTTAGTAGTATTGATGGTTGTTTTTTGTGGTAGTGGTTGTGTAATATTGTGTGGTTGTGGTAGTTAGATAGTATTTTTTTTTTGACGAATAGTTTGATAGTATTTTTGTGTATGTTTTGGTAGACTTGTAGTGGTAGTGTTTTTGTAGGCTGAAGTGGTAGTATTTTTTATGATAAGGTATTGATTTATTATTTTATTTCTGTAACGGTATTGGTTATTCTGACCTAGTATCACTTTGTTTGAATTGGTATTGGTGTTTTTTGATTCGTATTGATTTTTAATTTTTGCAGTGGTATTAGTTCGACTGAACAGAGATAAGGAAAATTTTTTGATAAAAAGAAGGCAGAGAGATGGCCGGAGAACGACTGAAATGAGAGAAATAAACAAATAACTATAATTAATATGTTAAAACTTAAAAAATGTAATTTATTAAAAAAAATTAATAAGTATTTATCTTTCTACCCTTGGTTGACACTTGACAAGTTGACAACCACTATCAATTTATCATCATTCTTTTGCGACCTACTAAACGGCCAACGCGAAGCATGGGCTGGGCCATGATACTGGAGGGTGGACCTGACTAAGGATGGCGAACAGTGACGGGTGTATGATAAATGTGTTGCACACTTGCATTGTATTATTCCTACAGTTACTATCACGACTTGCATTTGTAAATCGTTTTCTTCTCTTTTGGTGTTCTCTCCACTCTCCCGTCAGGACTTAGGAGCCAATTGGCGCAAAATAGAGCACCGGTCTAGAGCCGTTTGTAAGCTATGAATCCAATGCCAATCTGGGTATAGAACCCAATTTGAATTCGATCTACCGATTCAACTTATTCATTTAAATAAGAGCTAAAATGAAATATAGTCTTTTAGTATAATTCACTGGATCCATTTTAATGTTATGGGTATTTTCCAAGAACTATTTATTGTTAACATGAGTTAAGACACTCTAGGTGTCTGCCTTCCTACAAAAAAAAAAAAAAGTTTGGATATAATTTTTGGTCTTCAAACTCACGGATAAAAAACTGATGATTTTTAGTTCTACCTTATTGATAGTGCTATTTATTTGTATGTACATAAGGTTGATGAGAGTTAAATTTCATAAGAATGAGGTCCTAAGTTCTTAACATACTCGCACTCAACAAGTATCCACACATATTTCATCCAACTTATTTTTAATGAGGTCCTAGGACCCCACTCCTCTCCACCTCCCTCCGTCATTGTGCGTATCATGTGAATCATCAATACATATTTAAAACATGTCATTTACCTTAGAAATGATTTTT